AAGATCTTCTAAGCTTTTCATTATATACTAATGTTCTGTGTCAGATGTCAAATGTCTGCCATCACGTTCAATAGGACTGAAGTTTATGTTTTCAGGGTGTTTACCGGCTAATAATACTGATTGACTGCTTAAGAAAGATTGTTGGTGATCGTTCATTTTTTTCTAAGACCAGCCAAATGCATGGGTCCAACAAATAAAAAAATTTTAGATTTTCGTCTTTCTGCTGCCCGCCCCCATATAAATGAAGAGATCATTATATCTAGGTTTCATGTCCTCCAGCTATTCGTGTGATGTCGATGAAAAAGGTTGTTCATTCAGATTGTTTGGGGATGATATATGCAGTCATATTTGATCGTGTAAATTGCAAGAAATATTAATTCCCTCTAAAATCTCAACACAATCGGAATTGCGGCAGGGTCTTACGGTTTACTTCTTCCGTGAAGTTATTTTTTCATCTTAGCTGAAATTTGTTTTCTCTGTTTGGCCTTATATTTGGCTCGCTTTCTATAGTCCGCTTTTCTCCCCCTCGGCGCGCAGATAGTTTATTTTAATCTAAATGAAATTCAGTGTGAATTGCCTTAATAAGAATAACTAAGAATTGACGTAATTACACTGAACAGTCCTAAATAAATTGTCGCACCTCGATAAATATAGTGCGAGCTATTAAAAGCAAGCATATCTAAAAAAAAAGAAGAAAAAACCGAGAAAAAAGAATACAGAAGAGACCTGAAAACTATAAAACAAACCATAAAAATAATAAATCTAGCTTTAAAATCCAAAATGCGCTCCACTGTTCCGATTCAAACCAAAGGTGAGCCTAAGTTGCCGACTGGCTGCAAAAAAATCTAAATGCCTTGCTTCATCTTGACGACATAATGACGGTGTCTTGTATATACTCTACGAATATTAATTTGAATTATTTCATTTTTCCAGGATGATCCAAGGTTAATTTTTTTGGGTTAGCTCTTAGAAAATAGTTACAATGCTTCTCTATTTCCCAGCAGATGTTGCTATGAAAACCAAGCGACTTCTTCAACAAGCTATCGTTCTATTTCTCATTTGAATACATCCCGCCCAGACAGGAAACGACAGAGGGACTTCAGGTGTTACTGATAGGGTTAGTCTGATTCTATCAGTGACGCCTGGAGTCCCTCTATTGGCCTTTTTCTGATCTTATATTTATAGTTGTAATCAGCTGTACATAACTTTATTTTAACTCATGTTCCTTTAAAAGAGTTCTTAATATTTAATTATAAATCTTCTTAAAAGAGGTTTTTAAATTTGGCCTTAAAACTATTAACATTATACTAAAATTAGAGAGCTGTTTTAGTGAGCAACATACCAAATACGATCCAACGTTATATTTGAATGGGATGTTATATATTTGAATGGGATGTTTGTTCTTTTTGAAATCGAGGGTTTATTGAAGAAGCAATCATTTCTTCAATAAAGAAAAGAGAAACTAGTTTGCTAGACAATGAGATCTTCCTGGGTTCAATATATGTAGATCCGAAATACTGAATTTTATTGGATGACGAACAAATTAAAAAGGCAAAGAAAGTCATCTATGATCTTTCATTAAGAATGAAATTATTCTCAGAACATTGGAGAATTCGAATCAGGACAGTCAAACTGCAGACATTGCAATTGAGTCTCTATCATCCTTTTCTAATGATGAATTATATTTTAAGAAAAAATTTTTAACAATATTGAAAAGGCTAAGACAAAGTGAATAAAAATAAAGAACCAAGTGCCTTTAGATATAAAAATGAAAAAATACAAACAAGATTTCTACAAGGCCTTTGAAGAAATAGAGGAATATGATTGCGCTTGCAAGACACCTCTTCTAGAACTTCTAAAAATCTATCCTGAGAAATTAAAAGAAGTAGCCCTAACAGTATCAGCTCTTCCTCATACTCAAATTAGTGTGGAAAGACTCTTCTCAGCTCTGAAGTTTATCAAATCGGATCTACGGGCCTCCAACAAAGAAGATCTTGCCGATGCTATACTGTTTCTTAGAAATAACTAATGCCAGTTTTTCTATTTCATAATAAATGCTAATTAATATAAATAATTTGCTATGCCATCATTTTTTTTTCCTGTAGCATCTATTGCTTCTTTTATATAAACAAAATAAGCTGTAACCCATGCGTATATGTTTACATATATATATATGAAGCAGTCAGAATCGGAGTCATTAAAATTCCAGGAGTCGGAGTCGGTGATTTTCCCTACCGACTCCACAGCCCTGATTTTAACCGACTTCAAAAAAAGAGGAGGTTATCAATTCGGTCAATTTTTTGTTATTGTCGTTTTGTTCTTTTATGTTTGTCCGGCGATTACTTCGGCATATCTCAACCGATTTGAATGATTTTTTTGTTTGATAGGTTATGTTACCGGATTGGTACCATTGTTAAAAAGGTGGTTTAAAATGCCATCCTGTAATTTCAGGGGTAACATTTAGGGGTTGATAAAAAATAAAAGTTTCCTTAAATAATTAAAATTTGATGTGAATAAAGCTACTGGAGATCCAAATAAAATGCAAAACTAAAACTCTTAAAAAACTACCCCTTTCGCCTTTGGAGTTAATATTAAGGGTTGGAAAAAAAATTAAAGTTTTCCAATTAAATAAGGTTTCCTTCCCCCCCCAAAAAAAATTAGGCACCCGATTTTAAAAATATATGGATTTACTCTACATTACTTCAGTGAAGTCGGTTAAAAATAATTTTATACTTTTCATGGCTTTTTTTAAAGTCGGTTCTATTTTTTTTTTTTTTTTAGTTCATATTAAAATGATTTTTGAAAAACACCCAATAGAGAATACATTAATCCATTGGTATAAACCAAAGTCTTTCTAAAATTGTTTGCGAAATATTTTTACTGCTTAAAAAATAGAATATAATTTGCGTTTAAATTTAAATTTGGATAAGTTTGATAAATTAATGGCTTTGTTTAGGGTATAGTGTTAAAAAAATAGTTTCTAGTCTGTGGCTGACACTTAGATTTTAACAAAATACCGCCTTATAACATTAAAAAAATACTCAAAACTCCCCTGTTTCGTTTAAATAAAACACGATTTTTTTATCGAAACATTTTCTTAATTTTAATTGGTTGTGTTTTTAGAATGTCTGATGGACGTAAAAGATTATCGGGTGCTCAGTATAAAAGAAAAGGAGTCGAAAAGCAAGTTCAAATTCAAAAAGAGGCTGGAAGTCTGCTAAGTTATCTACAAGGCATGAAAAGGAACGATGACGACACAGGAATATTAGAAGCTGCTTCAAATCTTAATTATGAAGCCATTACCAATCAAGATACTGATATTGCTCAAGTGAAGCATACCCCAGGAACATACAAAGAATCTACTCCAGGGACGTCCACTGCAACCTACTCCAAGAACGTCCACTGAACCAACTCCAGGGACATCCACTGAACCAACACTAGGGACGTCTATTGAACCAACTTTAGGGACTTCTACTGAACCAACTCCAGAGACGTCTACTGAACCTACTCCAGGGATATCTAAAGAAGAGATATTTGTTACAATACTAAATTCAGATTCGGGTTCATGGCCAATTAGCTTATCAGAAGCATAAATATATTATTTGGTAAAAGAAGGACAACCTCAACCATTAAAGGAATACGTTTTCCGTATAATGATAACGGTCGAAGATTTAGCGCTGTTCATTATTTGAGAAATATGCAAAATGGTGAAAAAGTAACTGGTTAGTTTATTCAACTACAAAAGACTGCGTTCCTTGCTTTTGCTACAAACGTTTTGGTTCTGTTTTAAGTTCCCTTTCTATTGGAGGTTTCAAAGATGGAAGCACCTTGCTGAGACTTTAAATCAACATGAAACCTCTAAAAAAACATATCCAAAGTCAAAAGTCTTGGATTGAATCAAGTCAAAGAATGCAGTACTCTAAAACGATTGGCAGTCACTCACAAAGACTCATTAACACAGAAATAAATCATTGGTACAAGGTGCTTCTACGAACTGTTGCAACAATAAAAATGCTTGCTCAAAATTGTTTAACCCTCCAAGGTACTAGTGCCAAACTTTGCGATTTCGGTAACGGTAATTGTTTACAAATTATTCAGTTACTTGCTCACTTTGATCCAGTAATGGAAGAGCATCCCCGCAGAGTGCTTAAAAAAGAGGAAGTTAAAGTGCATTATCTCGGAAAAGAAATTCAAAATGAATTAATTATTCTTTTAGGTGAAAATATAACATCTCATATTATTAGTGAGATTAAAAAAGCTAAATATTATTCAATAATTCTAGATTTCCATTAAAATTAATGAAAGCTTTTTAGGCTTTCTTCCAGCTGAAAGATCGACTTGCTATGTATGAACTTTCAACTCTAATACTTAAAAGACTTGAAACACTGGGATTGAATTTGCAGGATATGAAGGGACAGGCTTTCCATAATGGAGCCAACGTGAGAGGCAATAAATCGGGAGTAAAATCTAGTATAAATGCGTTAAATCCAAGAGCATTTTACCTCCAATGTAGCAGCCACTTATTAAACTTGGTAGTTAATGACATGACAAAAGCATCCTTCGAAACCGCCAATTTTTTTATAATATAGTCCAAAAAATATATCTATTTTTTTTCCTCATCAACTTTTCGATGGACCGTATTAATAAAATATATCCACGGACTTACTTTGAAACTTCTAAGTGATAGTCGTTGGGAAAGCCGAATAGATGCATTAAAATCACTAAGGTATCAATTAAGAGACATATACGATGCTTTACTTGCTGTTTCGAATAATTCGGAGATTGACAACTCTATAAAAGTTGAGGCTTTTGAAGTATCAAGTTGTGTTAAACAATTTAAGTTCTTATGCTGCATTGTAATTTGGTACAAAATCTTAAATTGTATCAATCCTGTAAGTAAGCTCTTGCAGACTATGATTTACCATCTGCTATGGAGCTCTTGAAAAAAATTGTAAAGGTTTTTTTTCAATGATCTTAGATCGGGCACAGCCTTTAATGAAATGCTTTGCGATGCTCGAGAACTCGCCGACGAAATTGACATACCGGCTTATTTTGAGCTCACCCAGCCACATCATAGAGTTCGAAGAAGGAATGTTAATTTGGACTATGAGGCAAGAGATGATCCGATAGAAGATCCTACTTTGAAATATAAGGCAGAGTTTTATTTTTTCACATTAGATAAAGCTATCAATGCACTTGAATCCAGGTTTGATTTGATCAGTACCCACAGCAACTATTTCCAATTTTTATACAATACTTGTGATTTAAAAGATACTCCTCAAAAGGACGTACTAAAGTATTGTAAAGATCTAGAAACAGTATTAACTGATGGGAATTCATCAGATATAAACGTGCTGGACCTTGCACACGAGATAGTAGCGATTTTGGCTTTGCTATATAAAAAAGAAAGTCATCGAGATTTTAAAATTCATATCGAATCTGGATTTTGCTCCGAATTTCGGTATAGTTTTAAGGTATTGCTTACTGTCCCAATAAGTGTTGCAAGTGGAGGAAAACGTTTCTCCAAATTAAAATTAATTAAAAATTTTTACGCTTCACAACTACCGAGGATCGGCTAAAGAGCTTGAAAACAATAGCCATTGAACATGAACTGGCTGAAGAAATTAACGTTAAATGATAAAAAAATTCTCAGAATTAAAAGTGAGAAAAAAAACATTTTTAACTCTCGGTTTAAATGTATTTTTAATATGTAATTAAGTTTTACTATTTAGTGGATCTATAATTTGTTTTAGTATTTTTTTAATATCTGTATTTTATAATTATACATTAGAAATATTAGAAATGACTCTTTTCTTTTTTTCTGTGCAACCCTAATTTTAACTTAGTTCCAAAAACATAAATTAATAAATTAGCATTTTTTGCTAACCAAAACTTCAATATTATTGATAGCAATTTTTTTGCTCACGTTTTATTTCACTATTAAGCGTGGGAAGGGTTCAGGTTATCTCTTTTAATTTTTGTTATAAACGGGCGACATTTTACCTCTTTGCCCGGGGCGATGAAACCAAAGACATTCTTTGGCGAAACTGCTAGCGCCGGCCCTGCTCCTCATATGTAAACAGTTAAATTTAAAAATAGACTAAAGCCACAAATCTTTCAAAACTAAAACTTCATTTTCAAGTCTACCTTAATAAACACGTGGCACAACTCATGGTTAAATTCACTTTTGATTGAAACAAAATGTGATAGCAATAAAATTCCTGGATTTAGAATGAATCTAATAATAGGTAAAGCTGAAGAATTATACAAAAGAAATTAGGAAAAATGAAAAAGTATTTCAAAGACAATATTGTAGACTGAGCAACAAATTCAGATAAATTTAAAGGCCATTATCAAATAAATGACAGAAAAATGCTGACAATATTTTAACACCAGTCCATAAAGATTCAGATTACAACCATGATAGCCTAAAAAAATAGTGTCTGATAACAGTTTGGCTTCAAGTAACTAATCAATAAATAATGACTGTGTACAATTTATACATTCACATTGCAGATGAAGGAATAGAAGGAGACGTCTTCCTTCTATCACGGCTCACACAGTTCTCACGAGCTTAGAAATTTCAAGGAAAGTGGCACTTTTGTTTACATCCAGCATATGTTAGTTTAACAGCAGTTTAGTGGCACTTTCGCACAAATCAGAAAGCAAGGGCACTTATATATAATTTAGAACATTCATTGCTGGATAGATAATAGCAGTTTGTATTGTTTAGCGGTATTTCAGCTTAAAATCACATTTTGGTTATCTTTTGATGACTTGGAAAAGACTTAAATTATTAATTTCCATTACCAAATTTTAAGTTATGCATATAAATATAGAGTTCAACAAAGTGTTTATATGATGCGCCAAGAAATACAAACACCTCAAGCAGTCAGGTATCTTTAATATAAAAATATCCTAAAAATATAACACAATTTTAAGGCCCAGTCGTACAAATTTGGATCTTTGTTATTCAATAATGAAATAGGAACAATTTTTATTTCTTAATCTCATCCCTGATAAAAGGATGAGATGGGGAGTGGTAATCCATTAATTTTAAAAGTACTTTCACGACATGAAAAAAATAACACCAATAATGTGATTGATTAGTATTTCAATAATGTGATTTACATTTTGCATATATGTACATTTTAGATTTCCTTGCAGTGAGGAAATTTCAGACGTTTATGAATTCAGATCAATGGCAAAGCATGCAAGAGCTATTTAAGGAAAAGGATGTTCTAAGGGAAAGTGGCTCAATTTACAAGATTCATTCCAGGCAGCCAGCCCATTAATGCAAAATTGAATTCGGATAAAATTTCCAGTATCTAGCAGTCTTAGAAATTTGGCGGCTGAAGCCCATGTTATTCGGCACGTATACTGCTCTATGAAATACAATCTGCTTTATAAATCTGTATTAAAAATACAGATTAATAATAATGCATATAATTTTCATTCAATTTATATTTATACATATTTTATGAACATATTCTATGCTAAATTATAAATTATTTTACGTGGAAAATATCATGAATACACAGTAAATAAAGATTGATACATGTCAAAAATAAAAAATATGATATATATGACTAGTTAAGCATATTCTTTTAAGAAACTTGTATTTTCCTCTAATTAAATATTAATTATTTTAATTGTATTTAGAGGTGAAGGATTTATTCATTCATAATCTCCTCTAAATGTTACTAAGAAATCTAGTTACTAAATATATCATATAATGACGTTGTCATTTACTGTACTTCTCGAGGTATAAAACACACTCTTTCTTTAAAAATTTTGTGTCTGAAAACTGTGTCTTATAGAACAGTAGAGGCAGCATCAAATGAAATGTCAATAACACAATTTTAATTAACAAGCTTTGAGGTGAACAAAACCAAAGGTGAAAGATTGTTTTGACACCCCATACGTGTTAACCCTTAGAATGCCAAGGCCTTTGCTCTCCTGTTTCTTTAAAAAAATTAAATATTTGAAATTCCATTTGAGATTTACAATGATTTCCGAACTTTCTCCCCCATTCAAAGTGGCTGAAAATCTCAAATTATATTATTTCTAATTCCTAACAAAGAAACTTTCTCCCCCCTTTCCAAGTGCATACAAATCACCTTTAACTTAAAGGTAAGGAACCACAAAAGAATCCTTTTTAGACAGGATGACTACAATAAAGATTAACTGATAACTGATAACTGAAGTGTTTGGTGAAACTGCACCTTAGGCTATTGTGTACTTTAGGGAGGTACACAAAAGTTCTTTTTTTTAATGGTTGAGCACTTATTTAAACTGTTCAGGACTAGCATCGCGTATACGCGACACGATTCCACACCTACCAGCCCAGTGTCCCGTATACACGACGCCACGATTCTGCTCCTACGAGGCTAGCGTTGCGTATATGTGACATTAAAACGGAACGATTTATTTGAATTTTTAAAAGCCAGTAAATGGAGCCAAGTGGTAATTGTTTTCACATGGCTTGATTCGTATGGCATTTGATCTTCATGTACTGGCATTATCTTCTGTTTTGTGCTTCTGGTTTTGAGAGATTTATTGAAATAAACACATGAAATCACGGCTCTTTATAAGTGCGCTTGTAAATTAAAGGTTAACAGGCTTTTTATTATTATTATTATTTTGTTAGGATTTTTTTTTTCTATTTATTTTGAAACTTAACATACACTTTCTTGGTTAATTAAAAAGTAACATTACAACATTATTACAGATGGGGAAAGACTATCAGCTTTCTCGACGCGTAATGCGTCTTGCTTGCATTTCTCAGGAAAGAGCCAGCGTTTTTGTTTTTCTTACTCGATTTAATAGTTCATTATATATAATGCCTTGAATGGTCATGATATATATTGACACAGGCATTATATTTTGGTATATAATGAATTTACTTTACATATAATGTATAGATTAACGTTATCAGTAACGGATATCCCGCCAATGGGGGACCTTTCCTTGATCAAAGTCCAGTCAGAGTGGACACTGTTTTCGATTCAGGAAAACAGGAAGTTTTCTAATATAGACCTGATGTCACACAGTGTTTGAGGATAAAATATTTCTGAGTGTCTTTCAAAGAAGTGTTCGGACATGTGTTGGGGTTATAAGTCGTTAATCCGGACTCGTCGGGACTACGACGATTCCGGATTCTAGATCATCAGTTTAAATCTCGTAAGATGGCATGCAGAAATTCTAAAATTAAAAATATGAAACCGTAATTTATGAAATAAAGAACAATTATGATCTAAAGGGTATCAAAATTTGCAAAAAGAAAAAGCTTAATATTTATTTGTTTACTTTATTAAACATTTCTTTCAATGTAAGTTGTTTAAGTTTTGCTTCGTTTCATGTGATAATACTTTCTCTTTAATTCTATTGAACAGACATAATTTCTTGTTCAGTTACAAAGTTCTGCTGTTCAAGTCCTATAATTGCTATGTCGAGAACACCGACTAATTTCTCAATCGAAATTTTTTCGTTTTCAATAACCTCTGTCACTTTTCTTCGCTATCGGAAGCGAATTATAATGACGAGGAACTTGTTTTAAATCATATCAAAGACGGAGCATATCGAGATGAAATACTACATTTGGTAAGGAATTATAAGCCAAATAAAATAAAAACACCTGCGCTGAAGATAAGGATAGTGCTGACAGATCAACTTCCAATTCATTACGCGGCCCGCCGCGGCATTCCCCCCGTCGAGCAGCGTGAAATTGATAAACAGATTTCGGATTTCAAAACATACTTTCGCTTTAGATCCTTTACATATTAACAAATATATATGGAAATTCTATTTGATATAATCGAAAGTTTAAACTTACTTTTATAAAATTGCTCTTACCGTCTGCAAAAAATAATAAGCCTGAACCAATTCGAAAATTAAGGAACAATGCAATCATCAACATTAACTGAAATAGATAATTATATAATTTTAGCTTATACGTCCATTATACATAAAATGCGCACGCGAAAACGTATTCTGCACTTGCGCACACTCACATGCGCAGTCGTAAAAGGTCTTACGCGCACGCGTAAACGCGGCGCATGCGCAGAAAGTTTTTAGTTTTGAGGTCCGGATTATAGATCATTCCGAATTATGGGTGTCCGAATTAACGACTTTTGACTGTATTCAGTTTCATTCCGTTAGTCATGGCTAAGAGACCTTACTTAAAAACTTAAAAATTTGTCCAAAATTACCGGACACTCCACCTTCCCGTCTAACTGGAAGACAGTTTCCGAAAATTTACGTTGATAGAAAAGGTAATAAAGGTAGGAGAAGATGCGTTGTGTGCACTAAAACCAAGGAAAAGTGAAAGCAAACAACGTATTTTGAGTGTGAAATATGCAATGTAGGACTGTGTGTCGATCCTTGTTTTGAATTATTTCACACACAGCACAATTTTTAAATTAGAATTTAATTACCTACAGGTAATTCTTGTTTAGTATTTTTTTAATTTCATATTTATAATTTTTTTTCATGTTATAGTATTTATTTCTGTGTGTATAGTTATGATTTTGGTATTTTGCCTGTTTAATTTATTTCTATTAATGTAATATTCTTTATATTAATACACATTAAAAACAAATACATTAAATACGCAACTTAAAAAATTGAAGTCACAATATCAAAATGTTGATTTTATAAAATTTTTATTTTGTAAAATTAGACTTAACTACTGAAGATGTGTGGACCGGTGGCGACGATCCATTTCAGCAGGTCCAGTCCCATGACTGCGCTTTGTTCTCCCGGCGTTGGTCCTTAAGGGGTTAATAGCCATTAGCCTTATGCCACTACAAAGGCCGCAAGTGGAGGGGCATTTCATTATGGAAGCACCTAATAGGTGACCACTGTTACCTCTCATGAAGGGACGGGCAGTTAAAACCATGCTTTCTCCAGGATTAGAACTTGGACCCATCGTTACAGCTGTTAGGATCACTAACCACTGGCTGTCGGTGTACTGGTTGGGTACACAGATGAGATCCAGCTCATGGATAGGAGTTCTGGTAAGTTGTATACTGAACAAACATCGATTTCAATAATTTTAAAGTAATATTTTTTGGAACTACTCTCGTATATGCCCTCGGTTGGCAGCAAATTTCTAGCGAAACAATTTTACCGAGAAATGCCGCCATATTACTACCTAAATTTTTTGTCTACATTTTGAACTTTAAGCCTAAAATCTCTGCAAAAACGTGATTTTCACGTGTGAAAAAAAACACATTTTGAAAAGAATTAATGCACACAGTGATATGTTTTAACTCAAAAAAAAATCACAGAATTGAACAATCTATGCAGCGAAGGAATCTACGAACTATGCACACCTTGCTTTAATTAACATAATAGCAATACATTTCAAGAATACCATGTACACAGCATTCTGTTTAAACTTTAAAAAAATATCTATGTATTGCACAATCTAATGTGTTACGAATTGCACAAATTAATCAACAAAATAAACTAAAATAAATTTCAAACAATCCAAAAAAACAATAACAGAAATTTGGGAACTACTCTGATATGCGCCCTCAAGTCGCCAAATTTCTCGCCAAATACTTTTGGCAAGAAACTCCACGCTGCCATATTGCTATCTAAATTTTTTGTCTACATTTTGAACTTTAAGCCTAAAATGTCTCCAAACACGGTTTTCGCGAATGCAAAAACCACGTTTTGAACACACAATTTAAGCTAAAACTTTGAAACAAAAACAAAACATTTAGATAGCAAAACCGTAAAGTTTCTAACCAAAATTTGACAAGAGTCCATGTACACAGCGATATGTTTTAACTTAAAAAAACATCTACGAATGACACAATCTAGGCAACGAACGAATCTACAAACTACGCACACCTCGCTTTAATAAATTAACATAACAACAATAAATTTCAAAGAATATCATGTACACAGCATCCTGTTTAAACTTAAAAAAACATCTACGAGTTGCACAATTTAGGCAACAAACGAATCTATGAATTACGCACACCTCACTTTAATAAATTAACATAACAACAATAAATTTTAAAGAAACCATGTACACAGCGTCCTGTTTCAACTTAAAAAAACATCTATGAATTGCACAATTTAGGCAGCAAACGAATTTACGAACTACGTACACCTCACTTTAATAAATTAACACAACAACAATAAATTTCAAAGAATACCATGTATACAGCGTTCTGTTCCAAGTTAAAAAAACATCTACGAATTGCACAATTTAGACGATACGCACTAATCAACAAAATAACTAAAATAAATTTCAAACAATTCAAAAAAAGAACAATAACGACAGAAATTCATACTAAAAAAAACAATGAACATAACTTCTACAAAATAAGAACAAGAATAAAATAAAATGACTTACCAGAAATGAATGCCTTTTTCGAAAAGCAGAAATACCAATTTCATGCCACCTTTAACATACCACCACGTAATCACTATCATATTTATATATGACAGTCAGACACACTATCCAGAAAATTCATACTATGGTTCACGAATAAATGTTCAAATAACCGTCTAATTCACTAAATCCTTGTAAGATTCTATTAGCACATCCGACTAAAAATAGTCTGTACAGACCCTCTTTCCACACCTCCAAATACCCACTGCCTCTCAACAGGATGGACAAGACGATATTTCCTTTTGCTAAACTTCAACTCAACAACTTCCACCATTTTACCTTTCCCCCCAGCTTCTCATACACAGAGCATGACGCGAACCAACAAACTCCAGCGAAAGATTTTTCAACATCAACAGGGTTGCCATACAACACGCAACCGCGCCAAAAACCAGCGCAGAACACATATCGCTACATTTGGTAAAATTAGGGCGTATATCAGAGTTGTACCGAAATTTGTACTAAAAAAGCAAAACATTTTACAAAATAAGAATAAAATAAAATGCACTTAACCATGAATGAATGCTTCTTCGAACAGCAGAAATACCAATTCCATCCATCACCAAAACAATTTTACCACAAATTTGTTAAAAGCATCTTCTCCCGTTTCAGAACAATGATGAAAAATTATATAAACCACCAAATAAAATTCAAAATCATATTTTCGATTATAAGTAGGCAAAGTAACTTTAACATGCCACCATGTAATCTCTATTGTATTTATATGATAGCCAGACTCACTATCCACAAAATTGATACTATGTTCCACAAATAAATGTTCAAAACCTTCTTCTCTTAAATACTTGTAGAATTTCCAGCCACATGAAAAAATAGTTGTACCAGGCATGCGACTAAAATTTTGCCAACACGTCTTTCATTGCATTATAAATCATTTAAAACCACACACCTCACGAGCCAACTACCACTACAGTAAAATCCAAGTTTCCACATAAAAACGGTTGCCATAGAAATCAACATCGCCTCAAAAACCATCGAAGAACACGCAATTGCACCAAAAACCAGCACACAACACACATCGCTGAATTTGGCGACCTGAGGGCGCATATAAGAGTAGTACCTATTTTTTTCCTATTATATTGTAATTCAGCAGGTTAATAAAAACCAGTCCATCACCCAAATAATTCCTTATTTTTTTTTATTTTCGAGTCTCAAAATCAATGTTCATGTTATACATGGGAGAGTCTATAAAAAGCGAAATAAGGTAATTATAAACATAAGTTAAAATGCTATTGACAAACTTATTTATAAAACATTTAAGCAGAAATTATTCACACCAGAAGACATTCTGTTGAAAGATGTTGGAAAACGGAGCATTCAAGATGTGTAACTGAGGAAGTAGAAAATTAAGAGTTTAGGGAATGTGTATGGCTGAATATGAGATAGAACAAATTTATAGGTACCAAAAGGATTATCTACTTATTTTATAATAATTCAGTTGCAAGTCTTAAAGAATGTTAATAAACGATTTTATTCTATCCCTTCCTGAAATCCTCATAGAAAGTAAATAGAAATCAGAAATCAGCAGCAATATTTAACATTTTAAACCATTAAAATGAAAGGTAATCTAATTTGAAATTAACCAAACACAGCATTTATTATAGAGTGACTATGATTCTCGATTTAAAAGATACCTTAGAAAGGTGAAACCATCTCATATTTAAGAAAGTATTTCAGAAAGTTCTTTAAATAGGAAAGAAATAATGTCAATTTCAATATGCTTTGATTTTAATTTTTGTAATCATTAGCAAAATAAAATTATAAAATTGAATTATATTAAAATTTCTTTCTTAAGTAATTAGCAAAAACTTGTAAAAACATTTTGTTAAAATAAAACTATTCTGAGCACAGGAAAAAGCCCTTAATTCTGTTCAGAATTAAAATACTATTTCCCAGTGATTTTCAATGCTGTTTAAAAATTCATTCTTTCACATACTCAGGACTCTCGAAATATTGTAGAAAATGACAATGTACACATTTACACTTATATTTAGAGCATAATTATAAAATGCTTGGCAGAAGCCAGTCAGGGGCCTTTCCTTTCCTTTCTTCCTCTATGACGCACATACACACACATTCTTAAAAAAACACACCTCTAAACTTATACGTTTTAAAGTACTGTCCCACATCATATACCTGAAAAATGTAAAAAATATTTATATCCCTTTATCCATACTTTCTGGTGTTTTTTAATTATCTGAAATCTGCACAATAATTCCCAATTGTGTGGATTCCTGGTTTATACTTTTTGTTTAAAAGTAAATTTAAACAGTAAGTAAATGCCAGCAAAAGTCTATCTGTACGAGCTCAGAGATAAAATCCAACATAAAAATCTTTCTTTTTTAATCTGCAGTATTTTTGCTGAAAGAAAAAAAAAATTAAATACAGTCTGAAATGATCAACTATATTTCGCCATATACTAAAACAAATATCTTTAATAGTTTCTTCTTTCAGTACTTTATATAACAACTGCTTCTTCTTTCAATACCTTATTTAACAAATTTAATACTACACTTTGCAGCCTCAAGACCATATTTTGCAATTAAAACAATTTAGACCTGAGGCACTTATTGAAATATTAACAAATGAACAAAAGCTTTTAAGCTTAAAAACATTTTTTAAAATTTTGCAAAAATTCAATGACAACATTGTTATAAAACAAATATAAATTGTATGTTCAATGAGCTAAGTATTATTTATTTTGCCAATTAATGGCTCATTTAAATGCAAAGCTATGCATCCATTCACTGGTTTGAATAAACAATATTCAATATCAATTATTTCATTTAAATGCTAAAGAAAACCTTAATTAAATGGGTATATCTGATCAATGAAAATTAACAACTTTTTTAAGTTGCACATAAATTAAGAATAAATGAGTATGATAGCAATCAATGTATAAAAATAACAAACTTTAAACCATCTGCTTTACACATTTTAAAAATTTTACACGGCCGAACAGAAATACAAACTATTTTGATGAATATTTACAATTATTATCGATTAGTCGGCACAGATGTATTTGATTGCAATAATTTTTCAACTTCATATTTTGCTGCAGTATCATTTACAGCATCAGACTCAACTAAACGATGAGAAATACTACGACAAACAATTTTGAAAAAATCTTTGCTAATTCGTTTAGATTTGTATTCAGGATTTAAATGTTTTCGAACCAAATCAGCAGCTTTTTTAAGATTGTCATTTCGTATTTGAGTAGTAGTTTTACTTTTATCTGTCTTTGATTTAGTTTTTTCTGGTGATGAATCAGACTTTCTACGTTTACTTTTAACAGGTGAACTAATTAATGTTCTTTTCCTGTTTTCAGTCACAACTTGTTTTGATAATTCTTTGTTATTAGGTGAAGAAATGGCTAGACTGGGAGTAGATTTGACATCATCTGGTGAATTTGAATGTACAGATGATTCACCTAATGGACAAGACACACTTTCAAAAAAGTATTTCATTATCGGTTTTTCTACTTCAACACAAGCTCTTGAATTTTCTACACTTTTCCGTATTCTTGTTATTTTTTTAGGGCTGTATTTTTCTGAGCTCTCAGATTCACTATCTATAGAAGCTCTAAAACTTCTAAATTTTTCAGAGTTATTATCACAGTGTACGCTGTCAGAAGATAAAGTTCGAATCTTCTTCTGCGATTCTTCAGACTGTGAAATATCTGATCCTGCTCCAGTCCTATGGCTATCTGTACATGATAAAGAACTGCTAAAATTAGCATTTTCAACTTTATTTTCACTACTTGTCTTATGTTTAGAAAAATAATCGACTATAGTGTGAAGCCTTTCTTTGGTAACTCCTTTACCAGCTGAACCTTGATTTGGAACAAATTTAGAAACTACTGGGTGTACTTCAACTTGCCGTGATGCTTCCCTCAACGATTTGGTGAGATTCACAATTTCTCTTCGGTACATGTGAATATTTCCTTTGCTGCTAAAAGAATTCCATTCAAATTCTGCAGCACATTGCTGAAGCTCTTTTTCATTCAGAGATGGACACTGACGGTTTGCAGCACATGCCTTAAGATGTAGTTTTAGCTCAGCTACTAACTTGTCAAAATACTTTTCACGCATCAGAACAGACACTTCTGGTATTTTCTTCACGGATGCCTGAAATACTTTGCAACTGGATGTTTGAATATATTTGTCTGTCTTTTCTTTAGATCCCCTTCTTTTGCTGAATTCTTCACTGATTAGATTAGACAGTGCAGCTGCTGCCTCTTTATCTCTTTTTGTACTCTCTCTTGTGTCTGATTCACTATCCTCATATTCATGTTTAGCTCCTACTCTACCACCTCCATACAATTCATTACAATCGCTATCACCTTTCTTAAATTTTAATTTAGAGCCAAGATAAAGACTTTTAAATAAAGAAATCTTTTGTTGAACTTGTTTAGGATAACAGCAAACATCACAGTGTTTTCGGCAATCTGGCATATCATCACCAAATTCTCTTGCCAGAAGATAATGACGACAAACAGATTCCTCACAGTATTTAATCATTGTATTAAAGCTTTTAATAGTTGCTGCTATTTTTAATCGTGCATTTTTAGTTTTAGCAGAAGTTTCATCCTTTTTCAATAGAAAGAGAATAGTGTCTCTATCTTTTCTAGAATAATAAATTCTACATTTTGCAGATTTTCCATCTCTACCTGCCCTTCCTGATTCTTGGTAATAACCAGCAACTGACTGGGAAACACACCAATGAGCAACAAACCTTACTGATGGTTTATCTATGCCCATACCAAAACTAACAGTGGCAGCGATAACTGGAATACGTCCATCCATCCAACCATTTTGTGTTTCTTTGCGAACACCAGGCTTGATACCAGCATGATATGGTTCAGTGTGCAAGCCCAACTTCGTAAGTTTATTGGACAATTCTTCACATCCATCCCGAGTGCGGCAGTATATTATACCACACCCCCTTTCACTTGGAGGGCTCATTTCCCAATGGTCACCCAATGCAGAATACGCAAATTGTGTCAAGTCTTCATACGGATCTTGAAGAGTTTCTTTGAAAGTGACATCATAAAATAAATTAGGACGGAAACATGAAGTTTTAAATATAGCAACAGGCTGGCACAACTTTAATGATGCTAAAATGTCATCCATCACTTTTACAGATGCAGTAGCAGTTAGAGCAACCCAAGGAATTGACATATACTTAGCTCGTAGATCACCTAAACGTAAGTAATCTGGTCGAAAGTTATGTCCCCACTGTGATACACAATGTGCTTCATCAACAACAATCCTAGCAACATTATTTGTTTTGTAAAGGTGATCTATTATGGAATAGAAACCTGAAGTGCTAGCCAACTCGGGTGTTATATATAACAGTTTTGTTTTTGGTGAGTTACTCATTAAATCGCCTTTCACTCTATCACGTTCTGACACAGGCATTTTAGAATTTATGGTTTCAGTACAGATACCTAAAGCTATCATTTGGTCCATTTGGTTCTTCATTAAGGCAATGAGAGGTGATACAACAATAGTCACCCCTTTTCTTTCACTGACTAGAGCTGGAAGTTGATAACATAAAGATTTTCCAGCACCTGTGGGCATAGAAACAAACACATCTTGACTGCTATTAGCAACGGCTTCAACTGCTCGTTTCTGAACAAGAGTTCTGTAACTGTCATATTTGAAAACATCCTTCAGCGTTTTATAGAGCCGTTTTTCAATTTCTTTCACTACACAGCCAGGAGTTTCTGCTTCTTCGGGTGGTGGAGGGGGTTGAGCCATTATGGGACTAAAATAATATTGGCTACACTGTTCTCTTTACGAGAATTACTCCTTTAATAGCAACATCTTGTCTCGTTAGTCTTTACATTTCAAAACATATACTATATATAAAAACTATCTGATAATACTGTAAAGTTTTAATTAAACATTTTATGATCTAAATACAAACCCAATAATTTTGTATCATTATTTGTCAGACAGACAGACAAAGTAGACAGATGTCTTTTGTTGCACCCGCTAAGTCTTTCTGCACCGATTGGCGAAAAATTACGCATAGGTGCGAAGCAAAGATATTATTTCAGAGGAGAGTAAAAAGGAACTTCGAATATTTTATACGAGTTTGAAAGCCGAAAGGCCAGGAAGAAAGAATGGGACAAAATAAATGTAAAAATAAATGGCACAAAAGTAATGGAGGAGGAAATAAATTATATTTATAATTAAAAAAAAAAGGCCCTACAGAAAGAAAAGGAAAGGAAGTAAGAGAATTTTGTTTAAAAAAAAAAAAAACATGATTGTGTCCGTGAGTGTAGTCAAAGGAAGTTGTTATCATTTACATTAAATAGAGTTTTCCAGGTGTGTGTAATGAGTGTGTTTTGTAAAAGCTGAATAGATGTAAAGATGGGGGAAAATTAATAATAAAATAATAAATATTGGGGGTCCACTCACATAACACTATAAGTATAGTTTAGAAGCTAACTTTTGCAATAACAGGGAAACTAAAATTTAAAAATTTTAAATTAAACTTTTATTTTTTAACGTGGGAAACAATATATTTGCCTCTACCTTGAGACACAGTAACAGAAGACACGTAAGATCAAGATACATATAATATCATGCAAAGTTATACATTAACTAAGTAACATCATCTATTGCGGTTTCCAACATATTTATATACTCAGAAAACACCATCAGATAAAATCATAAATCCAAAACAAGGCGAGAACATATCAGCAAATATAAATAAGTAAATAAATTACGGAGTTTTTTTTTAATAGTAATTAATTTTTTAAAAAAAATAAGCATTTTATTTATTTATTAAGTTAATGGTCTTAATTTATTATATGTGCACTATTTTAACAATTTGAGGCAAACTGTATTAATATATGCTTTTAATTTAAATAGATAGGAAATATAGATTGAAGAAGCAAAAACTACAACTCTATACATTCATTGAGGCCCAAGATCGTGTTTTTTCCATCTCGAGAAATTCCCCAAAGGGGCCCCAATGGGTAGCGCTAACAGACTACACTACTGATAAGGATAGCGTCCCTACGAGATGGTAACCAAAAAAGAACCACATGATTTAGAGCAATTACTAAATATTTAATGCCAGAACATAATAAAATGTGCATAATAATAATTATCATAAAAATAAATGAATTTAAAGGTACTTTAGTGACAGATATTTGATTTAGCTTAGAGAAAAGAAGTTCTACTTATCTGAACGCTCCGTCTTGGTGCTGCAAAAGATTGCAAGGAAGACAAGACCCCCAGGTACAGGAAACTCCCGGCCTTGAGAACGAGACAATGCAGAGGATATTCGCAAAAATTTTCTTAAATAAATGAAGATTTTCCGGAAAACACCTTTGAAAATTCAGGAGCTCTTCTAAGATCCTGCCTCCATCGTACGTGATGACAGCGCCCTCTTCTGGGGGGACATGTCAGACAGACAAAGTAGACAGATGTCTTGTTTTGCACCCGCTAAGTCTTTCTGCACCGATGGGCGAAAAATCAAGCATAGGTGCGAAGGAAAGGTATATAGAAAGGGGGACAATTTCGTATTTGAGGAGAGTAAAAAGGAACTTCGTACATTTTGTACGAGTTCAAAAGGCCAGAAAGAAAAGATGGGACAAAATAAAATTTAAATTAAATGGTCCAAAAATAATAGAGGGGAAAAAAAGGGCCTATAGAAAGAAAAGGATAAGAAGTAGAAAATACCGAAAAGGAAAAGAAGTAGAAAATACCCTAAAATACGATTGTGTCCATGAGTGTAGTTAAGGAGTTCATCTGCAAAATTCGTGTCTTTAAGAAGCAAACTTTACCTAAGTTAAAAAAATAAATAAATAAATAAATTCCTACATGGTAATGTGTACGCCCTTATCTTGAGACCTAACTGGAAAAGACATATATCATCACAGAGATGTACATAATATTTTAACTAAAGTAACATTAAATATTACCGTTTCCAAAAAATTCATGTATATTTCATAAAAACAGTAATTGAAAAATCATAAATCCATACACAGTGTGAGGGCATTTCAGCAAAAATATACAGTTTATTTTTCTTAAATATTAGTTCAATATAAAATTAATTTATTAATTTAACAGTTGTAATTTATTATAGTACAACTTTAACAAATTCCGTCACACTGTATTTTTATTTGCTAATAATTCTAAGTTTGAGACCTGAAAAAAAAAAGTCGGGGATCTTAGTTACAAAAATCACAATCTATACTCATCGATGGTCAAGACATCCCCATTTCTCCCTCTCAAGAAATTCCGAAGCACAATAAGGGGGGGGGCTCCGAAGGGTGTGAGTTGCTGATAAGAACGCACTACTGATAAGGAATGTGGCGTCTCAACGCAATAGTTACGAAGAAAAGAACCACATGACCTGCTACTATTAACAACTATTGTATAATGCTAGAATCTTATGAAAATAATAAATAAAGAAATTTAATGGCACTGTAGTGAGAGAGAAACAGATATTGTATAGAGAACAGAATGTTACTTATCTGAATATTCCGTGTCAGGACCTCTTTTGGATTTCTCGTGTTGATAGTGATCAGCTATCAAAACACCTGAAGTTTCGAAGAAGCGAAGTTTCATTTTTCAATTTGATGACTGAGACATTGCATAGGAACGGTGCATTAAACTTTTTTAGAGTGTTGAAAACTTTTACTGAAACTTTTATTTAAAAAATTTCGGAGCTATGTTTACACACTGCATCCAGCTTTTGTGATCGCAGCGCCAGTCGGGGGGGGACATGAGACAGACAGACAGACAGACAAAGTAGATAGATGTCCTTTGTTGCACCCGCTAAGTCTTTCTGCACCGATGGGCGAAACATCAAGCATAGGTGCGAAGGAAATGTATATAGAAAGGGGGGCAATTTCGTATTTCAGAGGAGAGTAAAAAGGAACTTCGTATATTTTATACGAGTTCGAAAGGCCAGGAAGAAAAGATGGGACAAAATAAAGTAAAAAATAAATGGCCCAAAAGTAATGGAGAAGAAAAAAAATTTATTTATAATTAAAAAAAAGTGCCTATAGAAAGAAAAGGAAAGGAAGTAAGAGAATTTTGTTGAAAAAAAAAACACGATTGTGTTCATGAGTGTAGTAAATTTTGTTATCATTTACCTTAAATAGAGTCTTCCAGGTGTGTGTAATGAGTGTGTTTTGTTAGCTGAATAGATGTAAAGATGGGGGAAATTAATAATAAAATAATAAATATTGGGGGTCCAGTCACATAACAGTATAAGTCAAGTTTAGAAGCTAACTTTTGCTATAACAGGGAAACTAAAATTTAAAAATTTGTAAATTTAAACTTTTATTTTTTAACATGGAAACCAATATTAGCCTCTACCTTGAGGCACAGTAACAGAAGACACATAAGATCAAGATACATATAATATCATGCAAAGTTATACATTAAACTAAGTAACATCATCTATTGCGGTTTCCAACATATTTATATACTCAGAAAACACCATCAGATAAAATCATAAATCCAAAACAAGGCGAGAACATATCAGCAAAAATAAATAAGTAAATAAATTACGGAGTTTTTTTAATATTAATTCATTTAAAAAAAATAAGCATTTTATTTATTTATTAAGTTAATGGTCATAATTTATTATATGTGTTCTATTTTAACAATTTGAGGCACACTGTATTAATATATACTTTTAATTTAAATAGATAGGAAATATAGATTAAAGAAGCAAAAACTACAACTCTATACATTCATTGAGGCCCAAGATCGTGTTCTTTCCCTCTTGAGAAATTCCTCAAAGGGGCCCCAATGGGTAGCGCTAACAGACTATACTACTGATAAGGGCTACTGGTAAGGATAGCGTCCCTACGAGATGGTAACCAAAAAAGAACCACATGATTTAAAGCAATTACTAAATATTTAATGCCAGAACAGAACATAATAAAATGAGCATAATAATAATTAATATAAATAATAATTAATATAAATAATATTAATATTAATAATAATTAATATAAATAAATGAATTTAAAGGTACTTTAGTGACAGATATTTGATTTAGCTTAGAGAAAAGAAGTTCTACTTATCTGGACGCTCCGTCTTGGTGCTGCAAAAGATTGCAAGGAAGACAAGACCCCCAGGTACAGGAAACTCCCGGCCTTGAGAACGAGACAATGCAGAGTAAGGCTCCTATAAACCAGGCTGAATCATCAGGCATTCGCGCTCCCAAGTGGGAGATTTAATGGCGGCTGTGTGGTTAAGGTGCAACAATTTTTTGTGTTTTTTTTTTTGTGTAAAATGGGCGGATGTACAGCTATTAATTGTTCAAATCATTCACGGAAAGGTCATACATTGGTAAAATTTCCTAAAAATGAAGAAAGAAGAAAAATATGGGTAAATAATTGCCGAAGAGACAATTGGAAACCTGGTCCAGGCGCTGAACTTTGCTTAGTAAGTATAATGTTAATTACGCCTTCATTTAGAGTTTATATCTTCTCTGATGTTTATAATGTGCAAGTAAAGTGAAATTCTTGTGTACAATAACCTGAGTATCTGCTAATTTCTGTAATAATAGCTATAATTAAATTAGTCTAGGGTTAATGTACCCGTCGCCAAACATCGCCAATGTAGATGTTTTGAATATGGAAAAGAAATTTCTCTTCTAATATAAAGCGCGGATTTTGTTTTCCTGTGCTAATTGTGGAATTTATACTAATGTAACATGAAAATCATTAGCATATTGAAATTTATTAAAAAATAAATAATAATTTGGAAAGTCAAGATAAAATCTGAATGTTTGCTAAAGATATATGTAACATTATACTATAGTTGCAATATCGTTGGAATGATATATAATTTTTTCTTTATTTTATAATCACTATTGTTAAAAAGTTAGATGAGTTGTTTATGCACGGTGCCCACTACTGTTTCTTGGTTAAAATAACTTCCAGAATTTTGACATTGACATCTGAAGTCAATAGAATAAATTGAATAGTGTGAG